CTCTCACAGTTTTTGTTTTTCTGAGAAATATACTATTTGTCCTTCATTTTGGAAGGATAGCCATGCTGGGCAAAGTATTCTTGGCTGGCAATTTTTGTCCTTTAGTGTTTGAATATATTGTCCCATACTTTTCTGGCTTTTAGGGTTTCTGATGATGTCTAATGTTATTCTGATTGGGGCTCCCTTACAGGTGACTTGCTGCTTCTCTCTTGCGGCTTTTAAGATTCTCTCTTTGTCTTTGAGTTTTATCAGTTTGATTATCACATGTCTTGGAGAAGTCCTTTTTGGGTTGAATGTGCTTGGGGATCTTTGGGCTTCCTGAATCTGGAGATCTGTGACTTTCCCTATACCTGGGAAGTTTTCTGCTATTGTTTCATTGAACACATTCTCAAAGCCTTTTCCTTTCTGCTCCCCTTCAGAAATACCCTGTTTGTTCACTTAATGTTGTCTGCTATCTTTCTTAGATTTTTTTTTTATTTTTTTAAATTCTTTTTTCTTACTTTTTCTTTTTCTTACCCCTTCAGAAATACCCTGTTTGTTCACTTAATGTTGTCTGCTATCTTTCTTAGATTTTTTTATTTTTTTAAATTCTTTTTTCTTACTTTTTCTTTTTCTTATTTTTATATCTGCCTGAGTTATTCAAATATCCTGTCTTTAAGATCAGAAATTCTTTCTTCTATTTCTTCTACCACGTGGACTCTTTATTTCTATTCTATGATCTAGACTGAGAACAGAAATACATGAAAATAGTACATGAGGATGAATGGATTTTTTTCTTTCTTTTTGTTTTTGTTTTTATATTGTAGTGTTAATAACTACTAGTGTTGATGGCTCTTTTTTTTGTATTGAACATTTCTGATTTGGGGGCATGTGGTTTCCCTCAAGGCCATTTACTGGAATCCTTGGTAAATAAGTTGTGGTCTAGCTTGCTCATTTTTCTTCCATAGGAGGTAATCCACGTGATTCTTTGATGTCTACATAACATGGCTTACACAAAGTCAGTCTCATGGTCATTAAAAGCCTGGGTATAAAAGTACAGTCATCCAATAGGGGATTGATCCAGAACCTCCCATGTATACCAAAATCCATGAATGCTCAAATAAATCCCTAGTATAAGATGGTACAGTATTTGCATCTAACCGGCACACTTCCTCATGTATACTTTAAATAATCTCTATATTACTTACAATACTTTATACAATGTAAATGCTATGTAAATAGTTGTTATACTATATTTTTGGAGAAATAATCAAGAAAGAAAGGTCTGTTCATGTTTAGTACAGACACAATTTTTTTCCCAAATATTAATGATCTGAGCTTGGTTGAATTCATGGATGTGAAACCCACAGATACAAAAAATCAAGGTAATTGTAATGTCACAATAAAGAACTCACAAATAATCAGTTTAGATTTCCAAGAAGAAATCAACTGAGATAATTTCTGTTCCAACAAAGAAAAATTCCACTTCAAAATAGTGAGACCAAAAAGCCCATGGAATGCTGGCATGTTAGCTCAGTTGGTTAGAGTGTGGTGCTGATAACACCAAAGTCCAGGGATTCATTCCTGTATCAGAAAGCAAAAATAAAAACCAAAAGTGTCCCAGAGCTTTCAGGTTTCAGGAATGATTTGATGAAGGCTCAGACTGAATTTTATTTTCCATCATTTTCTGTGCACTGGCCACATCAACTTACTTTCTCCATGGCATCCAAGTGTAATAAGCAGTTCTAGGCCTCACATACAACACATCATCCATAAATATAAAGAGACATCCTGGGATTTGTTTTTCTGCTGTCAGACATTTAGTTCGGGGAAAGCTCGTATTGAAATTCTTTCATTGAATAAAATTTGGTCATTTATCCTCTCTAAACTAATCTTGTCAGTAAGAAGAATGAAAACTCTGATTTGACAGCTGGGATGCCCGTGAAGCTAGAAGTGGCTTTGGGTCCTCCTTAACCATAAAGCTACTATACACTCGTGAGAGGAGGACAGAACTGCAGCACTACAATGCCCACTGCAGCTTGACTTCTATTTTTCACTGTGCTTTTTTTTACAAGCCTTGAGCATTTCTTGGTGTTTAATAATGCACACATTTTTCCTGGAATGGAAGTTATGTAAATATTAATGGGTGGTGCTCTGTATTTGCTCGTTAGTTTTTCAGAGGTCATTAATGAGATACCCCAGCATGATTTACTTGCTTTTATATCAGAGGCTAAGTTTTTTGTGTCATATAGTTCAGACTACCTGTGGGTGGTTGTAAGAGAGAGAAAAAGAGAGAAAGAGATGCTATTGCCCCTCAAAATACAGAGTGATACTTCCTATAACAACACCCTTAACAAAAACATTACAACATAGGTTATAAATAAAAGTTATAATCATGTAATTAAATATCATTTTCTTTGTTTCATTTAAATGACATTCCATTATACATTTTATTTCATATTTAGTATTTTAATAAATTAGATATTTTTATATTATTTACTATTTATGTCAAATTTATTTACTAAACAAAAAATTGCTGAGTACTTAATATTTGTCAGATAGTATATAATGTAACAAAAGATGAAAATAAATAAGACAAAATTCCCAGTCTACTGCTTCCCCACAACCTGCCACCAGCCAACAAGTCATAAAATTATATATATAATTATCGCATAGAATATAAATAATCACATGCAGGCATACGAGGGTGTTATGGGAACTCAGTTAATTAAAAAGATTAATTATTCCTGAGTTCCTGGGGTTTGATTTGAACCTTAAAGGACGAATATAAGTTTGTCAGATAAACAAAGAGTACATGAAATTCACATAGATTACCCTGATATCCAGACCTAAAGATACAAAAGAATTGGGTAAGTGTGTAGGAAGACCATGTAATTTGTCCAAACTGGGATGCATCTCAGAGTAAAACAACACTAGCGATTAGAATTACATTAAATTTTTAAAGGCTACTATTGACCCACAAATTGAATTTAATATGCTAACAGACATATAAAATAATTTGAATAAAACTTACTTTCATAAGTAATTTTTCTAAAAATTAAGAAATGCATGTACACATTGAAGAAAAATTTTAAATCCCTTTTCCAATTTGGTTATCTGAGCATTAAGTTCAATAGAGGCACAGTAATTACTTTTGCTGCATATTTATATACTTAAAGAGTTTCTTGGTTGATTTATTTTCTAGATTTCTGTCTCTAATATCTAGAAAATATTCTTACTAGTTAGTGTATTTTCGGTAAGTTCTTTTTCTTTTTATTTTTTTCATGAAATAGCTTGAGATTCTAATTCATTGCATTTGAAATTGTGGATAATTTCAATTGATTCATTGTTGGAGGCAATCAATAATATACAATTATGTTTCTAAAATATTAATATGCAGTTAAATTTACTTTTTTGGTGTAAAGTTCTTAAATTTTTAACACATGTATACCACCAATACTATCAGGGTTAAATTTGTTCTGTCACTCCAAAAAGCTACTTATTTTTTCCTTGGGTAGTTACAGTCTCCTCCCATTTCTCACCATTTTTGGAAAAAATTACTCTTTATGAGACTCAATTCACAATTCATAAATTAAAAATTAAATTCATAAATATTTTATACCACATGTTTTCAGAGTTATTGTCTTTTTGACGACATTAAGTGTACCATTCTATGACAAATATGTTTGTAACATTAAACCCTTAAATTAATCTGCCTCTTTAATGATCATTTTGATGATTCTAGAAATTTACATGCTGGAAGATTTATAGATTTTTGCAATTCCATTTTATTCCATAGCAGAAAATAAATGTATCCAATGAAATGTGGGGTCCCCAATAAGAGGTTCTTTCTACAATTTGAGATATCCTAAAGCAAAATCATAAATATCAGAATAAAGTCTTGTATACTAGTTGAGTTCTATCATTTAATTTTGTCACTTACAGGTATTGATAGGTATAAATTTCAAAGCAATGCCTTTGAATTTAATTTAATTGCTTTCAATAATTGTTATTTGATGAAAGCTTTAAAAGTTGACTTTTTCATGTACGAGTTTATAACATTTTGGTTATAATAATTTAGAACCATTTAGTTCTAATAATTTAGAAAAAAATGCTACCACAATTTAGAGGAGTGACATTGAAAAGTTTAATACCCATGTAGGACGTGTGGATTCATTCATGTATCCATTCTTCAAAGTCTCAAACATTTCTAAAATCCTAATGCTAAAAAGAAAGAAGGCATACACTGCCATACTCATTTTTTGTCTTTCCTTTCTTTCTTTTTAGTATTCTATATTAATTTCATTACTAAACTTTCTTGGCACTGTTACTTGATGTATTTATTTTAAAAATTAAAAGGTAAAATTTGACTGTTTTTCCTTCTATTTTTATTGGTGGAATATGTCAGCTTGTTTTAATGTAATTATAAATTATATATACTACAGAATCAATTCCAAGTACATTTTGCCACATTGCTAAGAATTGAAAGAGTCAAACCGTTACCAAAAGTAAGATAAATAAATAGTTTGTAATTTTATATTATTAAAATTAATATTAAAACCACTTTGTCAGCAACATTCTCAATAATTTTATGGAAGGACTTCTCAGCCCGCATTTTCAACAGAAATTTCATATGTCGCTAAACTAATTTTCTGTTCTTGACATTGATTGGTAATGGGGTGGCTTTGCACATCTCTTAGTACATGGCATAGGCCAAGGCATGACTTCCTGGAACAAAGGTTGTTCCAGAAGGGGTGGTAGCCTTGAACATTTTTTCCCCACTGCCTGATATGGGAAGAACTTTTTTGCTAATAGGTAACTCATGTACACTCAATCCTTTACCTCTAGCCTCTGAATTGTGCCTCTGTGCAGTGGCAGAAAAGTGCAGAATACACTCTTATCCTGTTGCCTTCAGACTTGGATATTTTATTTTCTTTGACAAAAAATGTGAACAGAATCACCTTAAAAATAATCATGTGCATTTACTCTCCCTCTTGCATTCCTGGATTCTCCACGAGAAGGCAGCTGACATCTTTGGTTCCAAGGAGAATGCGGAGACATGTGGAGCAGAATTAACTCTACCTGAGCATTAGAGCCAAGTCCAGCCATCCTACAACCTGAAGAAGCACTACCCCAGCTGACCTGCAGAACTGCAAGAAAAATAATCATTGTAATTCCATGAGATTCTTAGATGGTTCATTACATAGCAAAAGTTGACGGATGCAGACAACATCTCCTTTCTAAAAATTTCTCCTGTTCTTTTCATTTACAAATCAAATGTCCATCTCTTCTCACTGGAACTTTCTAACATTCCTATTTCATCTATATATTAGGCTCTCTCAGCTGAACTCGTCATTATTAACTGTTTCCAAGTTGTTCTCAGGAATATTCTAGGCTCTCTCACTACTATAACACTATGCTGAGTCTTGTAATACTCAATTACATAATGTTTGCAACATAAACATTTTTTCTACTGGCTAACTTTGTAGAATTCAAAAAAAAAGATGCCTAAGTGTGAAGGCAAAATGTAGGCAAATAAATGTAGACTCTAGTAGGAAAAATGTAGTTATGCTGTTCTATTCTTCTCTAGTCTGTTAAACCATATCTGTACATTTCCTCTGAGGTAATACTCAATTACATAATGTTTGCAACATAAACATTTTTTCTACTGGCTAACTTTGTAGATTTCAAAAAAAAAGATGCCTAAGTGTGAAGGCAAAATGTAGGCAAATAAATGTAAACTCTAGTAGGAAAAATGTAGTTATGCTGTTCTATTCTTCTCTAGTCTGTTAAACCATATCTGTACATTTCCTCTGAACATTATCTCAAAGACAATGTCAAATAAGTAGAGGAAAGCAGGGTAAGCAGAAACAAAACCTGTACGTAAATTCTGCTAAATGAATCAGGCATATGTGTATTTGTAGGGGTGAGTATGTGTGTGTGCATGAGAGAGAGAGAGAGAGAGAGAGAGAGAGAGAGAGAGAGAGAGAGAGAGAGAGAGAGAGAGAGAGAG